AAAAAACAAACAACCCTTTAGTACTATGACTTATATTCTCATGTGGTCTGCAATGCTTCCCTGTCACCATGTATTAAGCAATAATGACTATTTCAGGAAGAGCCCTGTGTGACATCTGGGATGGAACATTTTATTTTAAAAACTTTTTAAAAAATACCACTTACTTTTAAATATATATATATATATATATGTTTTTATTAATTTTGGAGAGAGGAGGGAGAGGGAGAGAGAAAGAGTAACATCGACAAGAGAGAAACATCAGTTGGCTGCCTCCTGCACACGCCCCGTACTAGGGATCAAGCCTGCAACCTGGGCATGTGCACTGACCAGGAATCGAACTAGCAGCCTCGGGGTGCATGGGATGATGCTCAACACACTGAGCCACACCAGCCAGGCTTTTTTTTTTTTAAAGATTTTTTAATTGATTTTTAGAGAGAGAGGAAGGGAGAGGGAGAAAAAGAAACATTGATGTAAGAGCAAAACATTGATTGGCTGCCTCCTGCACATGTCCTGTACTGGGGATCAAGCCTGCAATCTGGACATGTGCCCCAACCAGGAATTGAACCAGCAACCTTTCAATGTAAGGGACGCTGCCAGCCACACCAGACAGGGCTATTATGCATCTTTCTAAAAAATCATTTTTTTACCCTGGCCGGTGTGGCTCAGCGATTAGAGCATTGGCCCGTGCACTGAGGGTTGTTGGTTTGATTCCCAATCATGGGCACACACCTGTGTTTCAGGCTCCATCCCACCATAGTTAGGGCTCATGCGGGAGGCAGCCAATTAATGTGTTTCTCTCACATCAATGTTTCTCTCTCTCTCTCTCTCTCTCTCTCTCTCTCTCAGCCTCCCCCCTTACACTCTCTCTAGAAAGCAATGGAAAAAATATCCTCGGGTGAGGATTAAAATAAAAATCATGTTTTATTTTTCAATTACAGTTGACATACAATATATTAGTTTCAGTGATTAGACATTATATAACTTACTGTGTGATCATGCCGATAAATCTTACACCCATCTGATACAATACATAGTTATTAGAATATTATTGACACCATGGAATACTATGCAGCTGTAAAAAAGAAGTATCTCTTACCCTTTGAGACAGCATGGAGGGACCTGGAGAGTATTGTGCTAAGCGAAATAAGCCAGTCAGAGAAAGACAAGTATCACATGATCTCACTCATATGTGGAATCTAAAGAACAAAATAAACTGATGAACAAAATAGATCCAGAGACATAGAAGCATGGAACAGACTGACGATTCTCAGAGGGAAGGTAGGGGTGGGAAGGGATTAACCAAAGAACTTATATGCATGTATGCATGACCCATGGACAGAGACAACAGTGTGGTGAAGGCCTGGGGAAGGGGGCACAGTGGGGGAAGCGGGGGTCAATGGGGAAATAAGAGGACATCTGTAATACTTTAAACAATAAAGATAAATTTAAAAAATTTTTTATTGACTATATTCCCTATGCTGTACTATATAACCCCATGACTATTCTGTACTACCAATTTGTATTTTTTTTTTTTTTTTGGTTTTGTTAATCCTCACCCAGGGATATTTTTCCATTGCTTTTAGATAGAGTGGAAGGGAGGAAGGGAGGGGGAGCGAAACATCAATGTGAGAGACACGCATCAATTGGTTGCCTCCCACACGAGCCTGGCATAGGAACTTGAAACCCAGGTACGTGCCCTTGACCAGGAATTGAGCCCTCAACCCTTTGGTCCGTGGGCCGATGCTCTCATCACTGAGCCACATCAGCCCGGGTCCAATTTGTACTTCACCTTTTTTCTTAATCCCTTCAACTTTTTCACCTATCCCCCCAAAACCCCTTCTATCTGGCAACTGTCATAATATTCTCTGTATCTAGGAGTGTCTCTGTCCTGCTTGTTCATTTGTTTTTAAGATTCCATTGTTGATAGAGATATATGTATTGCCATTTTATTATTCATATTTTTGATCTCTTTCCCCCCCCTTCTTTTTAAAGAAGACCCTTTTTACATTTTTATGTAATACTGGTTTGGTGGTGATGAACTCCTTTAGCTTTTTCTCATCTGGAAAGCTCATTACAATGTCCTTTGATGAGAAAGGTAAATTAAAACCACAATTTGATATCCTTGTACACCCACCAGGTCTAAAATGAAAAAGACTTCCAATATCAAATGTTCGCAAGGAAGCTCTGATTCACTGGTAGTGAGGATGTAATTTGTAAAAACTACTTTGGGAAATTCGCCATATCTACTGAAGCTGAGCAAACTCATCCTACCCTCTGATCCAGAAATTCAACTCCTGAGTACATGGGTTCACCAAGAGTCATGCATAAGAATATTCATAGCCGCTTTCTTCATGCTAGCTAAAAATAAAAAACAATCTCTATGTCAGCTATAGAATAGATAAATACATTCTGGACTATTCATATAATAGAATACTGTATCCAAGTGAGAATAAACAAGTAGACCCTCCAGCCTCAGTCAAGCCTTCAGATGACTGCAGCCTTGGCCAATATCTTGAGAACCACATGAGAGACCCAGAGCCAGAACTGCCCAAGCCACTCCTAAATTCTCGACTCACAGAAATTGTGAGTGATGTTTATTGTCTTAAGCCACTATTTTCATGTGATCTGTTACATAGCACCAGGTAATCAATACACTGTGTGATACAGGGGTTCAGCTAGACAGACTTGAGATCCTGTGAGCTTGTATATTAATGAATAATGCCCTTGTAATGGTTGGAGACGTTGGCCCCAGGCTCCAGGTCTTCCTGTGTACCATACATAACATTTGCTGTGCCAACAGCCTATAGATTTTCCTGGGCACGAAATTCCTTGACCCTCTGTTTTGTAAAGAGTACAAATGTGCAAATATAAAGTAGGGTTTTGTTGTTTTGGGGGAAAACTTACAAGCAGAGCAATAACAGAATTTACTCAATCCCCAAACTTTCAGATAAAGGGATTAAGCCAGACTTAGTTGGACCATGTGTCCCATAGCTACAGCTCCTGTAGAGAGGGAGCCTTCCTGGAATGCATCAGATTTATAGGGATAGTGAGGCAGGGAACATCTATACCACCAACATGGAAGCTGCTTGATGAAAGAAATGATCTCATTAGAAAAGGGGACTCTCTTTTTTCCATTGCTCTCTGGTACCTGCTGAGCTAGCTAGCTGCTGAGCTACTGAAAGAGGACAGGAAATGAGCCTCCAGTGCTGTCTCATTTGTTTCTCCTCACCTCCTGGATTCCCAGCACTTCACAGATCCCAGTTCCCAGGCTGTGCTTTAAACATAGTATATATTTGCTGGCTCACTGGTCAACACAGAGAAAAACATTAGTTTTCATTCTCAGTAAGAAACTTTGGGCAGGCACCAAGAGAACAGCATCAGCAAACTAATAGACCAGATAGGAACTGGAGACCTGTTCACTCTGCCTGGAACCCTACACCTAACCATTTTAGATAATTCTAAATTGTCCCCAATCATTTACCCTTTATCCTTATTGAAAATCTCATCATCAGACAAACCCTTGTCATGTAGCTTCTGTGCCATGTTTTGCTTGCATGTGGCATTGAGAGATCTATACATATCCCTTAGCCAAAGTGGCTGCCTTCTCCAGAAAAAGCCCTCCTAGAAAACAGACAGGGAAATATGAATTCTGGGTTTCCCCTGCCACAAAACATGCTGAGCTGTTTCCCAGTCAGTCCCACTACTGCACTGGCACGCTCTGTGCTTTTGTCCTGTGTGTGGTTGGCACCATTCTTCATCTCATATTGGAAAGCCACCAGCATTTATTTGTGGTCACTTAGGTCGATTATTAAATCTTGTTCATGCAGAATTTATTTTAATCACTCAGGCATTTAAGTCTCACTGACTTACTGAATGTGCCTGAGTAATGACTGACTCTCTTTGCAGGAGTGGAGGAACCTGGGCATTATCACTTGGAATCAAGCAGCCATGGATCTGTGTTGGACACAGAAGGAAGTGGGTAGGTTTGGTGCTGGAATGAGCTGGAGGGAGCTGAGCAACACACACGACCCTCAGTGGGGTCTGGAGAGGCTGAGGCAGGACAAGTGAATGGAGAAGCGGCCCCACCAGTACGTTTTCTGAAATGAAGGTCTGAGGAGGGAAGTCTTGGGCAGTTCCTGCTCCCACACATTCCTCTTTACCCTGTCTTTCCAGCACCTCCCTGCTAGCTATCCAATAGTTGGGAGTTTTTTCAATTAAAAAAGAAACTCCAAAAACCTACTGTGAATTTTCTACTACCTTGTAAGGGTGGAGAACCCACTACACCAAGACAGGACACACATTTGTGCATAATCTTAAGAGCTTGGGAAAAAGACAGCCCCCACCGTGCAGGTAGGCTCAGGCATCCAAATACTCTGACAACCCCAAAGACCTGATGAGAGGGGCTGGAAGTGAATGACCCTCCATGGACAGGACGTCAAGTATGTTGTAAATAACTGGTCCTTGGTGAGCTTGGGGACAGAGCACCAGAATAACCTACACTCCTTGTGGAGGATGTGTCTTCCAGTTCTCAGGGACGGGCTGTATTGGGGAGCCGAGGGAGAGAAGCCCCTCTTCACCCTGTTGGACCACACTGCTGCTTGAGGAGGTACTGGCTTCCCCAGGGATTCAGCTTCAGCCCAGCTTTTCTTGCCTATGGTCCTTGTTATTTTCATATAAATACTTAACTATTTACACTTTAACTCCTTACCTCATGGCTAGAGTTGGTTATGAATTGATACATTTCAAATATATGTTTTATTAACAATGCTAAGCCTGAGGATGGGATGGGGTTCACTCAGTGGCGGTTTCATGTTGCACTTTCCTCTCCTCCTGTCTCTTCAGCAGTAGAGTCTGATACTTCAATCCTGGCTGATGAGGAGGTGACTTCACTCTGCTTCCTGGGGTGAGAAGAAGGCCAAGGCTTTTACTCTTGAAAGAAACGATTAAACTATTCATTACTTCCTCATTTTAGACAAGAATTCTCAATTGCTCCCAATCATTTACATTTTCATGAAAAGCTCATTCTCATTGTGCCGTGGCTTCTGCTCCACCTTTCTCTTCGTTTTCGTGGAACCGAGAGGTCTATACATATCCTTCAGCCAAAGGGGCCGCCTTCTCCAGAACCCGCCCTCCTAGAAAACAGAGGGAAATATGAGCTCTGTGTTCGCCGGCCTTGTCCCGCCACAGTACTTCATCTTCTTCAAATTTACCTCCATCTCCTGTTCTGATGAGCAGCTCTTACTCCGGAGAGATGGAAAAAAGCCACTTGGAGGAAAATACATACCAACAATTAGTGATTCATGCCATTTTATGTGTCTCTCACACATAAAGCTCAGGTCTTATTAGGACTAAATGGGTACCTGGGTCCATACTCATGAGCAAAATCACCATAGACCTGGAACCTTGACAATGATTCCTTGCATGCTGGGCTTCCAGAAGTTTCCTGTGTCTATTTAAAATGGCCCCACAATGTCTCTGGGGGGCCTCTGTATGTGGCTTGGCATGGAGTATAGGCAGGATTTTCAGCCCCACTCACCTTCTCGGCCCTTGGCCAAGTGCCCTCATGCAATGAACAAAAATCAAAAAGCACAGCCACACTGGGCAGAAGCAGTTTACTCTCTCCAGAAGCATTTTACATTGGTCCCCTTTAGACTTAGTCTCATGCATCATTTTCTGGGGCAGGGTGGGGGGTGCTTTTATTTTCCTACCTGCTTTTTCCTATAAGTTAAATCATACCAATTAAATGCCTGACTCCAGCTAGCAAAGTTATCTAGCTTGCTGACTTTCATACTGCAGGCTGTCACTGACGAGTGAGTTGTGAATCAGTTTAAAGGTCATAGCTGATGCTAAAATACAAAGTACTGTTTTTGAATACAAACAGAATAGGAAAAAATCAGAGTGCATAATAAGTTTGTTTAAGAAACTACTTATGTCTATATGATGTGTGTGTACCGAGTTGTGACATAAAATGTAGCTCACAGCCCAAGTACAGTATAATCAATGGAGAAGTCCCCAAAGGGAAAGTAACCATCTTCTTTCTGACACTCACTAGCAGTGTGACCATGGGGCAAGGTATCTTTCCTTTCCCCTTCTCCATTCCCTTTTTGTTAAAGGAAAAGACAAACTACTGTCTAAGGTCTCTCCCAGTTAAAATTCTCTGAGGTTTGGATGAAGGGAATAGAGAGAGTAGGGCCCTGAAAACGGGTAGCATAAAAGGGAAGTTTTCCTGCTACTTTACAGGAAGGACTCATACATTCCACCTTCCATGGGCCTTGGAGGAGACTAGCGCCCTTACCCTAAGACCAGGTGGCTTCCCCACCCCTTCCCCAGATCCTCCACCACCAGCAGGAACACATACAACCAAGACCTCTCTCTCCCTCTGCACCGTTTCCTCAAAGGACTGCTGACAGCAGATGCATCTGTGCCAGTCCCATTCTATCACAGCTTTGGCTAGGGAGCTAATTTTGCAAAATCCAGACAAAGCATCAGGATAAATAACTATTCTTTCCAAATCTGGTGTTTTCCTCACTGTAAATTGAGGAGATTGAAATGGATGAGTTCTCAGTTCTCCTCTAGTTTTTTGTTTTGTTTGTTTCTTTTATTAGCACTTATTTTATGATGAATTTACTTCTGGGCCATAAGTTTTTGATTTTGAAGGTCCTCTGGGATATCTTTTTCTTCTGTGCAGCCTCCTCTCCGTTTTAGGAACAATCTGCTCTTTTGCAGTAGGATCATCTCCATGTGGCAGGGAGAGCTCACGTGTGGGTTAATCCGCCCATGAGCTCTGTAAGTTCTGCACCGCATCTGGGGAGCTTTGTTCACCCAGATGTGCTCAGTGACCAGAGAATCTACATCTAAACCCTTAAACTCGGCATCGCTTTCTGCATTTTTAAGCATGTGCAGCAAAAATCCAGCACTCTTTTTAGGCCACCGACCCTGCGCCCAGCCCCACTCTTGGGCCTGTGCACACCTACCAACTCCACCATTGTAATGAGGGAATGGCACACACTGCTTCTGTAAAGTGACATCCTTCAGATGCTTGGTGGCTTTTTGGATACGCATACCCTTGATGGCCTCTGTAGTTTCACAGGTATTCTTTTTTTTGGTTTGTTTGTTTTTTAAATGTATCTTCATTGTTGTCACGGGTGTTCTTAAAGTGAACACAAAGGTTTAAACCTCTTGACTTTCATGATTCTGCGGGGTTATCTGGGTCATTTTCAGAGGTCACTGCTGGCCATTTACAGGAAGAGGAAGTTCCTCTACTTTTAAAACTTTACTTTAAAAATTGCTGGACTTATATTTACCTTGAGCTTCTTTCTGTAGCCTCTTTCCTGTGACAAATCTGTTTTGGAAGAAAACAACATCATGATTATTCATCACAATGACAGTGATTTGTAAAGCTTTATTTGTTCCCTTTTAAGTGAGATGACAACTTTTTTGAGGACAGGAACTCTGTTGAATAGTCCTTTGACTCTTCCTAGTCCCTAACTTAGGATCTTGCATGCAGCTGGCAATGCATTTTACTGGCTGTTTTAGATAACACTCAGCAGATAATTCCTAATAAAAACTCTTGGAACTAGGAAAAGAAAATGAAAGTATCTACCAGACACCTACACAGCAGCTTGTTTTAGGGTCAAGAACAGGAGTAGGATGCCTGTTATTACTGTTACTGTTCATCAATGTTGAGAAGGTCCTAATCAATTTAACAAGAAAAATGAAGTACTGGAAAGAAAGTGAAAAAGCATATTTGCACATGAGATGATGCACAACCTAAAAAGCCCAAGAACATAGATTAAAATTTTACTGGCAGTACTACAACAATTCAGTAAGACGGCAAAATCCAGAATCAAGAGATCAACATGCAAACCTCAATAGTTTTCTTACAGGCCACAAATAGCTAATTAAAAAATGAAAGAAAGAGCCCATTTCCAATATCAATAAAATAATAAAGTTCCCAGAAATAAACTTAACAAAAAATGTGTAAGAGCTATGTCATGAAAACATTAAAACTTCTGAAGGACATTAGGAAGAATACAGGACATGAGGTACTGTGTCCCTAGAATGTTGTAAAAATGCCAATTCTT